AAAAAAGAAAGATCCATCGAGTGATGGTTTTATGAATTTTGATGAACGATTTGAAGTGTTAAAAAAGATTACAAAAATGTTTCTAGTCACTCTGGAAGGATTACATGAAATTCATCGATATTTGAACAATACCAACGATAATTCTGAACAACAAGAATATTTTATTAATTCCTTATTTCACTTCCGTATTCGAAGTGTTACTCTATTTCCATATTTTCCAAATTTCACCTCGGACAATCAAGAGGAGTATCGTCACGGAATGTTACCATATCTCATTGTTTCATTGAAAAGTAGTCCAAAAGGAAATTGCGAATGATCCTAAAAAGGTCATTTTGGTGGTGGAGCATTGGGCCATTCCACCACGAAATGTCTCAAATCATAAAATCTATGCAAGTGGTGGTGGTACGAGTGGTGGTGACCATTTAAAGAGAATTCGATTGAGTTTGTTGAATACTCCGATTTATCCAATCACGGTGAGGGAATGGAATGAGAATTCGATTGAAGTGGAACCAGGATATCCTCATTACCATCAGGAAAAACATGGATCTGCCACCTTCAAGAGCACCTCTTTGATTGGACAATTATACGACATGATTATGAGTGAAATTCAAAACGAAACAAATTTTGCAACTCCTCATCCAGAAATAATCATCACCGCATTAGATGATCGTGATTATATTTATGTGTCATGTCTCTATGAAATTAAGAAGGCTCTTTCTTGCAAGGAGAATCCTCTCGATACATTCATGCATTTCCTTCTCACACGGTGGAATTTGATTCACAAAGGAAAACATACCATTCAATATGCGAGTGAATTTTTGAACATTTTTTGGAGAGTGTTGTGTTGGGTGGAATTATTTTCTTGTTGTTTCCATTATCATTCATCTAATGGTTCGAATGAAAATGATGTGAGTTGTAGTTCAACAATGAACACTGAAAGAATCACCATTCGAATCCATGTATTGAATTCTTGTTTGGAAGATTTGAGCCCACACGATCAAGAGACTCTTCTCAACGAGTTTATAAACTCTTCCACCACAACCTCCAATAAGGAAATTCGAGTCATGACCTTAATGGGAATTGATTCTGTTCCTTTGGAATGGGAGAGAAAGAGTTCAGTATTGGAAAGCGATCGATCCAAGACTCATATTTATGAAATCACTGACACCTCCTGCATGACATCACCCTCTACGATGGCATGGATTTTGGAACAAGTGATTGAATCCTCATTGAGAATGCAAGTCGAATTGGGTTTCCATTTGCATGATTTAATGAAAAAATATTTCATGATGATGGAGAAGAATCAAAGAGAAGATTATTACTACGAGTTCAATCTTTCTAAAGCTCTATTGAAGAGACTTTTAGAACAACAAGGATTTGAAAAGGAATTCCCAAAAACATTCTCTCACCTTTGCACCAAATAAAATCATGGAAAGTAAATGTCATTTCATTCAATGTCATTTCAATGTTTTTATACAATGATGATGATTTGTTCAGAATTCCTGTTTGAATTCATGTTTCCATCACACCAACTACCACCAATATTGTGCTGTACTACCACTAGCACTACCACCAACATTGTGCTGTACTACCACTATATTGATTCAAGTGAAGACGACTTGTAACCAATCTTTTGTTCTAACCAAACATGTCTTGCTACACTTGCTGATGGTCTTTTCTCATAATCCTTATCCAACATGATCATGACAAAATCAATAAGAGCTTGAATATTATAGGAAGAGGAGGAAGAGGAGGTGTCACCATGGTGTGAGACACTTGTATCACCACCACTTGTACCACTTGTCACAGGATTCGAGTTCTTGTCATGATTACCACCACTGTTATTGCCAACATTGCCACTATTACCAACATTACCACACAAAGTTAGTGTTAATTTCTCTCTAATTTCTTTACCTCCATTACTCATGATTGAAATACGAACAGTCGTTTGGAAATCTCGTGTAATCATGATATAAAAAACACATCCCAATCCATAAATATCTGTTTTAGAGACATTTTTGACATCACCTGCAAATAATTCTGGTGATTGAAATAATTCTGTACCAACAATACTCGTTTTAGTGACTAGTGTTTCAACATCACCTTTGGAGAGACCAAAATCACTCAATACCACTTCATCTTCATTCCTTAAAAGGAAATTCTCTGGTTTGATGTCTCTGTGATAAACATCTCTTCCATGAATATATTCAATACATGATAACATTTGATCCATGAAATTGAGAATTCTATTAATTGGTAAATGAGATTTCAAATTCAACAAGTAGGATTGGAAATCACCCAATTCAAGGAAAGGCATTGTGAAACACCACTTGTCATAATTTCCTAATTTAGTTTCAAAGATTTCATAAACAGGTAGAATGTGTTTGTGATTGAGTTTGGACATTTGAATGAATTCTGCATTGTTACCTTCTTCTTTTGGAAGAATTTTCATGGCAAGAATCTTTTTATCTTCACTATTCAAATCACAAACTGTTTTGAAGTGATGAGATTATATGGTTGCATTTCATCAACAATTGAAGTGATGAGATCAACAATCCAATGCATCATCATAAAGTGATCATTTTAGAGTGGAATGATTTTCATGAATTGAAATTTGAAAAAAGGTTAAACAAGAGGTTTCAGAATTGATAAAATCTCAAAAATAATTTGTAACAAAAATTTGTGATCTCTTACCTTTGAACACACTTCCAAATCCACCCTTTCCAATCTTTTCAAAATTTCATAACGATCTACTAAAACATTCTTTTTAGCTTTCTTTTGTGGTGAATCCACTTGTGAAAGTTTTTGATTTTTCCTTTTCAATTCCAATTGATTGAACATTTTAATCACCACGAGTTGTTGAAGATCAAATGTTGAAGAATCCTTCTTGGAAATGGCACTACCACTCTGACCACCACTCTGACTACTACTATTACTACTATTACTATTACTATTACTACTATTACTACTACTATCGAGAGGAGTAATAAAGTACATGTTCACCAAATCTAAATTCACACAATTTTCAAAGAGTTTTGTAAAGAATTCTTCCAAGTTTGGAATGGAATTCTTAATCTTGGAAAAGAGTCTCTTACACACAAATTCACTCCACTCTGTCAATAAAGAATTCTTTGACGAATTGTTTTGTTTCAAAGAAGGAGGAGAGGAAAAGATGAGGAATAGTATTTCAATGAATTTTTGTAAATTCAGAGGATTTGAGAGGTTTTTTGGTGGTGACTGTTGACGTTCCATGTGAGTCGTTGAGTATTCGATCATATTTCTAAATATGGTAATTCTAGTTTCGGTTTCAAGAATACTCGAGAAGGATGCCAAACATAAACTCTCAATCAACAAGTTGCAATCGACTACAATGACAGTATTCAAATTATTAAATTGTTCCAACTTTTGTAAATATTGTAAGAATCCAAATATATCCTTCACTCGCTTTTTATGGAAAGGTCGAAACATTTCAATTTCTGAAACCAATGGATTAACAACAGCACACGATTTGTCTCCAAATTCTCCTCCATTCAATGTACAATTAATCATTGTCAATATTATTGAAATGATATTCTCTCTGGTGTTTGAATCTATTTTCATTGTTTGATTGAACAATTCAAAATTCTTTACAGTTGAACACCAATAAATAATCACATAATAGATTGAATAAATCTTCTTTCTCAATTCCAAGTTATTGGTATATAATTGATCAAATGATATTTTTGATTTTGATAATAAATCTGAATTGACATTTGACATTTCTTTCAAATACTTCTTACTTTCATTGGCCAATGACATGTCCAAATGATAGAGAGTAGGTCCAAATTGACATAATTGTTCAAAGAGAATGATAAGTGGTGTTGGAATATCAATTCCTTTTTCTTCTTTTTCAACACTCAACACATGGAGTAACATCATTTCGAATAATCTTGAAATTTGAGTTAAAAGAGTTAAATAATGTTTGTAAGATTGTTGAGAAGCATGAGTGGTGGTGGTGGTGGTGGTGGTGGTGTTCATATGGGTCTCTACACCACCACTTTGAATACCACCACCACTTTGAATACCACCACTCGTAGTAGCACTCGAATGGGTCTTTAAATTTTCTCGAATCATTGGGAAGAGAATTTTCAAAATGATGGAATCGATCATTTCATATCGATGGTTGTGTTGTAAGGATGTTTGTGGAGGAGAATTGAAACCACCACCACTAGTTGTAGTAGTAGTAGTAGTAGTATTAGAGGAGTTATTATTACTACTATTACTATTACTACTTCCACTTCGATGAATCATTGGACTAGTAGTACCACTTTGAATACCACTAGGACTACCACCACTAGGACTAGTAGTAGTAGTAGTAGTTGGATTAGATGCATCTAATGTCGTCGTTGTCGTCATTGTTGTTAAATGATAGTGTGATGATAATTGAATAAAACATTTACATTTCAATACATTGGAATAAACATTAAATTTCTCAGTGAGTGTGATGGTTGTAATACTCTCAAAAAAGACTTTTCAGGAAATTTGAGAAATGATGATGTGGTAACATGTCATGTAAAATATCAAACACACTCACAGTGAGACTTTTCATCAAATTTCCCTTAATGATGGCTATATTTGGAACATTTTTACCATCCAAATTGAAAATGGCTAATAATTTGGCAACGAGACTATGAAATTGTTCTTTGAATTCAGAAATTTCTTTCAAATGTTTTTCTTTTTTGGATGGCACAAGGAATGATTTTTTCTTTTTTGAAAAGTGTCTCTTTTTGAGAAGAATCATGACCAGAGAGAAGGATTGAATGGCATGATAGAGAGATTTGTAGTGAGATTCAGGAATGGTTGCTGATGTGGTTGCTGATGTGGTGTTGGTGCTATTTAAAGGAGAACTTGTTGATGAGGATGAGGATCTTCCTCCAAGACTATTCCTTCGATGAGTACTACTACTATTAGTACTACTATTACTATTAGTACTAGTCCTAGTCGTAGTAATGGTACTATTACCATTACTATTACTACTTGCATTATTATTAGTGGTACTGATGGTACTGATGGTATTGGCACTACTGATGGTGGTGGTTGGAACATTCAATTCTTTCAAAATGGATTCAAGACTTGTAATGGATTCTTGAAATCGATCATTTAAATGTTTCAAAATGGATTGATAGACCTTTTCACTGATTGGAATTTTTGACACAATTTGTTCAAATAATTGTTCAGTCTTTGAAAAGTATTGTCCAATCAAATAAAAGAGAATTTCAAGAGTTTTGTTACGAATATCTTCATGTTCATCATAAAATTCTAAAATTGAAAATAATGATTTGAACAAGTTGTGAGCATGTAGAACACATTCCTTATAAGTAATTTTCTTTTTTCACTTGTTCTAATAATTCCATCATGGATACATTTTTCAACATGAATTGTTTCCATAAAAATAGAATTTGTAACAAGTGTGAATGTGGAATGGAGGAAATGAAAAGATGATACTCATTTTGATATTATTCTTTTCTGGTTTGCTCATTTTCAAATCTGGAATGACAGCAAGTACATTGGTTCGTGAAGTGATGATTCTATTGTTGTTGTTAAGGTTAATGTTATTGTTAATGTTGGAGAATGAATGATTCAATAAGGATGATGAGTCACCACTCGGACTACTCAAAGATGATTTCGTCTTGTAGAGTTCAATTAATTTCATCTTTTCAAAATTCATGAGTGAATCTTGATCTGTGAATTTGTAATATCCAATCAATACAGGTTGTTCCTCTAATTCATATTTTGATGACTTGTAATTCACATTATAGACATAAATGTATAAATAGAGATGATCAAAATTCTCCACATGTGAAGCATCAATGTGAAAAGGTTCAAAATATTTTGGATTGGTTTTTTTGCAAAAGACATAACTTGAATAATGGAAAGGACCATTCATGTCGTGTTCATGATTAATCTCTTCATCTTGTTGTTGTTGAGAAGAAGAAGAAGAAGAGAATGAAGAAGAAGAAGGATTGAAATGGTTGTTGGGTGATGATGTGGTGCTAGTGAAAGAAGATTCAACATTAGATGAAAAACTACCTCCCAAATTTGAACCACTTGATGAATTCGAATGAAATGAATCAGTCTGACTGGTTATACTATTGGATCGTTTGTTCACGAACGAAGACGACGAACCAGGTCCTGTGTTTGTTCTATAAATGGGAATAAATTTACCTTCCTTCGTTTGTGGATTTTTCACTTCAAATAATCGCATCACAATGAGTGGATTTTTGGATTTCAAAATGGAACTTGAAAAAGTGGCTCGATCCAAACATGGATAAATGTCACATCGATTCTCTAGAAAGGAGTAATTCGTTTTGGCTTCATTCTTTGTGTTGATGGAGAACCAATTGATAGGTTTGGCTGTGAATAAACGTTGAAATTGTGGAACTTCTTTCATAATGACATCATAATCACCCTTATAGAACACAAAATTCACATTCAATTGATCCTTCAATGCCTTACATTCACTTCCAATCGAAGTGTAAGTATAGAGTGAGGTGGGTGCACTCTGGACCAAGGTTGAATCGTGATTTGAGGCCGCTGAAGGGAGTGTCGTGTTGGGGCTGGTGGTGGTGCTACTCGTATTGCCACTGCTACTACTACTCAGAGTGGCCACACTGAGATTCGAACCACTACCGCCAAAAGCGGAATGTCGGCTATCCAAATTTGAACTAACTGCCGTAGATGCAGAATTGGCGGTCAATGAGAGGAGTGTTGGATTCATTCCACCCAGCGCACTACCACAACTACTGTGAATGGAGCCTTTTCGAGAGAGTGAAGAGGAATCTTTGCCCGACAGTAAGGTTGCAAAGTCCATGACATCATTGGCATTGTCTAAATTGTCACTTGCAAAGGTGGAAGAGTTGTTATTACTACTAGTACTACTGGTCGTACTCAATGGATGGTCGTCCTCTAATAAATACGTGGGTTTAGCATTGAGCTTTCTTCCACTGTTTTGAGCGGCAATGACTGCATGTAACATGGTGAATTTCTAGAAATGGAAATATATAATGAATGTGGTGTTCATGTAAATGAATGGAGTTGAATGGATTCATTTCCAATCATTGAACACGGGATATGGACATGGCATTGTACAATATACATAATATATGAATAGTTAAATGATATGTAATAATATATGAAAAGTTAAATGATATGTAATAATATATGAAAAGTTAAATGAATGATATGGACATGATGAGAATTGTACCATATTCATCAATGACCTACCTTTTCATGACTCTTTTCATAAAATTCACAATATTTTGTTACAGAGTGTCCATTGGCTAATTCTTTGATACTTTCTGAATCGAATGGAATGGCACACACTGCCAATGGTCTTCTCAATGTGTCAATATCCAAATCATCCTTATTTGGAGAAATTGAATTACTACTACTTTGAATGGAGAGATTTTTAGAGGAAGCAAAAGTATTCAAAGAATTCTGATGTCCTAATTCATATTTTCTAAATGCTCTTCCAACCAAATACAAATCATCCTTCAATAAATTACTTCCAGTAATATCTCGAAATAATGAAATTCTATTTTTACCACTGTCACTTGAAATGACAATACTCTCACTAATAAAACGAGCTTCATTCAATGAATACATGGCAAAATGAATTTCAATACTTTCATCTCCAGTTGCAAATAAATGAAAATCAAAAACAACCATCAATTGATAGGTGTCATTAATGGAAAGTTGATTGTTGATAGAGGTGTGAGTCGTCGTCGTTGTTTCATTCAATGAAGAAGAAGAGGAATTCGATGAGGAATTCAATGAAGAGGTGGGTGTGGATGACGATTGATCAACCACACTCTTTCCTGTACTACTACTACTACTAGTACTACTACTGCTGTTCGTAGTAGTCGTGTTATTTCCACCTCCACCACCTGTTGCAGCTTGATTGACTTGTTCCAAACCCTTTTTGATGGTTGAAAAGACTTTATCTTTGAAGGATCCTTTTGATTTTTTGTCACTAATACTGTTAGTGCTATTATTACTGTTGTTGTTGTTGTTGTTTGATGGATGGGTGGACTTTTGAGCTGAAGTTTTTCGTTTTTGTCGATTTTGATCATTCAAAGATAAACCACCAACTCCTCGAAGACCTTTATGTTGACTCAATAATTGTTCAATAAAAGCACCATCACTCACATAGACACTGATTTCATTTTCTATATCACTGATACTATCAATCATGGATTGATATTCATTTGTATTGTTGTTATTATTAGTAGTGTTATTATTATAATTCATGTTATTGTTATTATTAGTGTTATTATTCATAGTGTGATTATGTGCCATTTCTTTGAATAGTATTATTATTATTATTATTATTACTATTATTATTATTATATTACTTCTCCTTGACAACTAGTCACACGTGATGATTTTGTTATTCAGAAAATAATAATCAATGATGATGATGTCTTCGTGTGATGAGATGTTGAGCACTGCTGTCAATTGATTTGTGAAATGTTGACAACTCTGTTTGATCACAATGTTCCTTCTTCTCAAAAACGTAAAAAGCTTTGAAGGAGAGAATGAGAGAGTGTTTAATATTTAATTGTTGTGCAAGTTCAACAACACCACCAATGATGACAGTTAATGATTTTTTAACAGATCATAGGAAATGGACGACTGAAGAGGTCTCTTAAAGTGTGGCGAGAGAGAATCTTTCGTGAGAGAGAGCTGCAGTGTGTGCTGTGTGTGTGGAAGGAGAATTCAACGTTCATAAATGAAGCAAATGGATAAATTCATCCAATTTTCCCTCAAATAACATTTTCTCGTGTTGATACCATTCATCATCGTTACATATCATCGTTATACCTCCCATGAGATTGAATACGTCTATTCATGGAATGGAGAGTGAGTACTCACTTTGGATGATCCATTAGTGAACTGGAGAATAGAAAAAATCACACACCCCTATCGAATCTGAGAAACAGAACGATCCTTCATCATCACTTCTAAAAAAAATGAATCACAACCATTCGTCTTCTTCCTTCTCATCATCATCGGATCAGCCTCAATTACGATTTGCGATGGTTGGAGTGTTTCGGGAGGCTCTTGATTCTTCTAATTTATTATTCAATAATAACATCTCCCAATATTATGAATCTCAAAATAACAGCTCTAATGAACCATCATCCTGTATTTTAATTGGTGAATACTATCGAGGCTTAACCAGCAGTGCTCAAATCTCTCAACAACATCAGGCTCAAATGACTCGTCAAATTTGTTTGAAAATTGGAGATAAAGTATCTCATACGAATCATAAACGAACTCTCACACAGGGTTCTTTAAATTTTCATTACAAAGTGGTTGATAACAAGTATATTTTTGTGGTTTGTGCAGATTCGGAATGTCCTCTGAGAATTTGTTATAACTTTTGGATGATTTAGAAACACAATTTAAAAGGCAAGGGTTTGATAATGAGGGGCTTTCTAATTCACATTTTAAACCCATTTCGAATATCATTAAGGATCGAATGGCTCATTACAATAATTTAGAAAATGATAAAATTTACAAATTGAAAAATCAAATTGATGCTACCAAAGATGTCATGATTTCTAATATTGATAAAGTGATTGAGAGAGGAGAACGATTGGATGTGTTGGCAGAAAAGACTGATGAGCTACAAGATCATGCATTTACCTTCAAAACAAAAAGTAAGAAGCTGAAAAATACCATGAAAAAGAGAATTATTCTACTCGCACTGATATTGATTGTAATTTTTGTAATCATTGTTCTGATTGCAGTGTTTGCTGGTTGCAATTTTCCATCCTTTGATAGATGCAGAGTTTCTTCCAACAATAATAATAATAATAATGGAAATAACAATTAACCATTTTACGAATGAAATTGAGCTCAGAGACGAAACGAACCTACTAACTCAAATTTTGTACATCCCATCAACAACAAGTCACTTTTGAATATGACTCAACAAGTACTTCCATCCACACACCTCTTGATAATAAACCCAATAAGAATAAAAGTTCCAATATTATTGTATTGTATTTTCACAAAGAATATTTATATTTTCTCAAAGAATTGCACACAAACAACATCAAACAAAAAAATGACCATCTCAGCCAAGCACAACAATCAAATTCCTCTTCGTTCGGTCCGACCCATCTATTCTTCCTCGGTACCATCATCATCATTGATAACAAATCCAAGTACTAGTCATACGAGTAGTAGTAGTAGTAACACCACCAACACTCCTCTCATCAATATTGAAACCGGTAAACGAAAAGATGGACGTACCTGTGATAAATTCAGAAATGTTTTTCTTCAAGTCGGAGTGATTAAACAAGCTCGTGGAAGTGCCTATTTAGAATTTCATCAAGGAACTAAAATTATTTGTGCAGTCTATGGACCTCGACAAGTTTCTGCAAAAAATGTGGAATTTAGTGATACTGGAAGATTACAATGTGAATATCGAGTAGCACAATTTGCATCACTGCATCACAATTCTCGGAGTAGTGCAAGTTCTGCCATGAGTGCCACCAAATCACATCAAGCAACATCGGAAGAAATTGAATTTGGAATTCACATGAGAGAAGCTCTTGAATCATCCCTTCGATTAGACAAGTATCCAAAAAGTGTCATTGATGTTTATTGTTTTGTTTTAGAAGATGATGGAAGTGCATTGAGTGGAGCCATAAGTTGTGCCTCACTTGCACTTGCAAATGCAGGAATTGAAATGGTGGACATGGTGAGTGCATGTACAACAAGTGAATTGGAAGGTCAAATTGTTGTGGATCCAACAAGTCATGAATATAAATATGCAAGTGGTGGAATGGTGTGTGGATTTATGAGCAATTTGAATGAAGTCACACAATTAACACAAGTAGGAGATATGTCTTTTCAGAAAGTGAGTGAAGCTATGGATTTGTGTATTGATGGATGCACGAAATTGTATCAATTAATGCAACAATGTTTAATTGAGAGTATGATGAATACGCGAACAACAATAACAACGAGAGAATAATGTGACTGATCATCCCTCTCATGAAAATAAAAACCTTATTTTTCTGAACTTTTTTGAACTGTTGTTGAACAAAAAAAGATGATGTTACCGAGGAAGAAACCACCACCCCATGTCATTGACAAACATGAAAGGCATGGTGAAAGTTTCACCTGATTATTGCTCATTTAATTCTTCTTACATTTAGAAACACGTAAAAGAGCTCTTGCGAGCTTTCTACCAATCACTGAGACTCTTCTGCCGGCTCTTCTTGCCTTTCTACCACCTCTGTGTCTTCTACGGACTCTTCTTACCTTTCCTTTTCCGCACTTGTGAATCTTGATCTTCAAAGCCTTCAAGACCTTCTTAAGCTTACGAGGTAAGTGTTTCTTTGGACAATATCTCTTACCCAACTTTCTTTGTTTTCTCAAGACCTTTTTCAACAATTTTCTAATCTTTCGAGAAGTCTTTCTCTTGATCACAGTTGCGGAAATTCTCTTAATGAGTTTGTTGTATCTGCGAGAGGCTCTCTTTCTAAGTTTCTTCAAGATGGCACGCTTGGCCTTTCTTGCTCTTCTCAAAGCACGTCTCTTGAGCTTCTTGCATACTCGTTTAGCACGTTTGTTTTTCTTCAAAGCACGTTTCACCTTCTTACAGACACGACGAGAGCGTCTTACGAGCTTTCTTGCCACACGTCTTGCTCTTCTCAAAGCACGTCTTACACGTCTAGCAGCACGCTTGGATTTAGAAATTCTCAGTTTGGCAAGGAGTTTTCTGACACGTTTGATGGCCCGTCTTGCGACACGCTTTGCATGTTTACCCTTTCTTGTCAATTTTCTTGATCTCTTCAAAGCACGTCTCTTAGCCCTCTTACAAGCACGACGAGCTCTCTTCAATGCAGCACGTATGATGCGTCTTGCTCTCTTCAATGCACGGCGCTTGAGCTTTCTTTGTCTCTTAATAAGGGCACGACGAGCAGCTCTCTTCAATGCAGCACGTCTTCTAAGAGCCTTCTTGATGGCAGCAACTCTTCTCTTGGCAGCAGAAGCACGGCGAGCAACTCTTCTCTTGGAAGCCTTACCACGTTGTCTTCTCAATGCAGCACGACGTCTTGCAATTCTTCTACGTAGAGACTTCTTGATGGCAGCAGCTCTTCTCTTCAAAGCCTTTCTTCTCTTCAACTTGGCAAGCTTCTTAAGAACAGCACGTCTTCTCAATGCACGTCTTCTATTTCTACGGGCCTTCTTGAGAGCAGCTCTTCTCTTGGCACGACGAGCAGCTCTTGCACGACGTCTTGCAATTCTTTGCTTTCTTCTCAGAGCCTTCTTCAAACGCTTGATGAGTCTACGTCTGGCACGACGAGCACTTCTGGATTTGAGTTTCTTTCTTCTCAGAGCCTTATGAAGTTTCTTCAAAAGTTTACGAACAGCCTTCTTTGCCTTCTTTGCAAGTTTCTTGGTCTTCTTTACCTTCTTAAGGATGGCCTTTCGAGCAGCACGTCTTGCCTTTTTAACCTTCTTAATGATCTTCTTGGCTTGTTTCTTCCACTTGTTGCTCTTCTTCTTCTCTAACTTTTTAACCTTGACAATGGTCTTGGCAAAGTCTTTACCAAGTCTCTTACCAGCTTGAATTTGATCAACCACACAAGCATGGAAAGCATTTGGATTCTTGTGTTTGTTCAAACCAACCTTTCTACACACTCGACGAGCTCTCTTGAGTTGTTTCTTGGTTGGCTTCTTTGGTTGGACTCTTCTCTCAATTCTTCTTTCCTTATGATTGTGCAGAATACCTGTTGCAGATCGAGAAAGGTAGGAACGAGAAACACACAAACCCGAAGAGAAGTTCAAAGTTCTTGGAGCATCGAGAATCAATGAGATGTGTCCAAAGGAACCATAGGCACTTCTGAATGATGGACTCCTGTGCCATGTAGCAGTCAAGTGAGCTCCATTCTTTGAAGAGATGATTAATGAGTTGGAAGATACTCGTTTGACGGTGGCAACAGATCCACTCAATGCAATGGTTTGACCCACATTCACTTTGGTTTGCTTTCCGTTCAAATAGAAGGAATTGGTTTTGGTATCATATTCAAAGGAATCTTTTTGATTGATTTTAACAGCAAAGGCAGTATTGACGGATACTCTGAATATTGAGTGGTATTACCCGTCATACAAATATATTATTGAATCAATGCAAGAGAGTTCGAATGAATGTAAATACCCATCAAAGAGAGATACAAGTGGTGGACATCCATTGATGCGCATCGAGTGAGTGAATTTTCACATTTTATGAAAGCATTAAGTTCCATCAGAAGAGAGAATATATTGAGCGCGGCGCGTGAACATTTTCATCACACCACCACCACTTGCTGTCAGCAAAAGTGAATGAAACACAACCCACACACTTACCTATTCCATTTTCCTGTTCTTGCATGCACAACGAATGACTTGTCAACAGTTTCTGCCAACACATAGTCACCGACGCCATAAAAGTCATATTTCTTTCCTGTGAATGAAACATAGTGTGGATCACCAATGGATTGACATCTCTGTAAGACAGAGTTGGCTCTTACTCGACGGGCTTCTGCTGGTAGCAGGGCAAGGATGACACAAGTTGCCACCAACAACAAGCCAATCAGAAATTTTGATCTGCTCATCATCGTTTGTTGATGTTTAGTAGCACGATGACGAAGACTTGTGTGTTGAATTTTTTGTTGTGATGATGAACTAACGCAAGCCATTTTCGGTTGGAATTAAAAGGATTTCAGAGAGACATGTGAAGTCATCATAAAGGGTGACACGGTCACGAATCAAGCGATTGTGAAGTTTCTTGTTCTGACTTTCCTTGAAAGTAAACAAAATTTGGCATTTATTAATTGCAAATAGTCCAGTATTCCTCCATCCGTATTAATCGTATGCGCATGACCTGATTCTTTCGTGTCAAATAAAACCATAACTTGTTTTTTATTGTTGTTGCTGTTCTTGTTGCTTCAAAATTTCGTTTTCCACTCTCAATTTTCGTATAAGGGCCTTCTTCTTCTCGACTTGTGATTTCAAGTGACCCTCCAATTGAGCCTTTTGCTGTTTAATGCCTGCACGTGGATTTCTGTTCTTTTCTGGTGGAATCCATTCAATAGTACCAGATGTACTAATATTCTTTGATAGGTTGTCAAGATAGAATTTGGTGTTATCAACTTGTTGAGACTTGGTCAAATGAATTTCAGTACGATTTTTGAGATTAAATTCGTTGGAGATGTAAGGAATTTCAATTTGATTCAACAAGTTTCCTTGTTCAAGAGAGGCTCCAGTGAAAGAAAGAAGTCCAAGATGACGAGCCTTTTTAACTTCATCTTGAATCTTCTTGTGAGTTCTTCTTCTAACACCAGTAAATCTCTTTGGAATAATACGACCAGTTTGCGAAACAAATTTGAGAAGGAGGTTTGGATTCTTGTATGAAATCTTTTCAATGTAGTGTTGATTGTTGGCAAATGGATCTGGAGGGCGAGTTTTGAATTGAGGTAACTGATGTAATTGATATTCCATCATTTTACGGTGTTGAATATCATCACCAGCGAGTTTACCTTCTCTCCAATCTTGAGCAACCTCTGTAAATTGATTCACAGCACTCATGAACTCCATATGACTTGTTGGTGGTTTGTTGTAGAGCCATCCTGATGTATTGGCGTTTACAGGAGTTTTTAAGTAATGATTGAACACATCGCTATCAGCTCTTTCTATGTAACGATAATAATCATACCATGTATTTCCTTGAGGAGAATCTGGTGAATTAGCCTGGAAGGGTGCCTCGGGAGAAATGTTTTTAGCTTTCTTTGATGTTGTCGCAGCTTGATAAACGTCTGAACCATCGTAATTGGCTCTACCACCTCTACTTCTTGCGATATTTTCCTCGATGAGTTTATGAATATCCTTTAGAGATAGTTTCTTGTTGGCAAGTTTTTTCTTGCTTGCTTGGTCCAATTCTATTTGTTTAACTCCTTCATTCGAGCAGGGATGAGTGCTAAAATTTTGTTGATGATGATGATGACTAGAGAGAAGAATTGCTACTGTTGAAGAAGAATGGTGCGGAAAAAGCAGTTGCTGCTGTGTTTTGTTGTTGAAAGAGCGGAGAGAACGATGCAAAATAACCCTCTTCATTTTTTTTAAAACCATCTTGATTATTCATCGCTAATATTATTATTTAAATGGCAACGTTGCCGAAGGAATGGTTTCTTTCATCATCATCAACATAAGCACTCATCAATTCTCTAACAACAAATACAATTAATAGGATTAAATAAATTGCAGGTTTGAAAAACATTTCGAAAAATCCAACAACAACTCCCACCAAAAAAATCTAATTAGTTTATTGTTAGCACCACTGGTGCTGGTAAATCCGTGAGGATTGGGGTTTGTTTTTGAATTGGTTTTTTAAACCTTGAGTTTTCATAATACTTGGTGTGACATTTACCAACTAGTAGGGTGAGAATTGTTTGGATTTCAGGCCAATTTTGGTAAATATTTGGTAAATTTTTAAAGTTGGGCATTTGAGTATCTCGAATCATTACTCCGTCATGATGAATAATGAAAACTTTCCTTCTTTCACAGTATCTTGATTCTTGATAATCGTTGAGGATACATTGCATTGATGTAATATCTAGGAATTTAGTGTAGAAAAAATCTCTAAAGCATTGAGTATTAGGGCAATAGTATATGAAATGTTTTAGAGTTCCGGGGCATTTACAGTGAGCGCATTGTCTTTCCTTATGTTGTTTGATATGGTTGCTTGTTAAGTTTCTCCAGATTGACCACTTAGTATTTGTGTCAATTTTAGATTTGATGAATTTTAGATTGATAGATGACCAGTTCTTGGTAAGGTGTAGACTGGAATTATCTCTATCAAATTGGCTAAACATTACATCATATCTTTTCTTTTGTATGGATTTTTTGATGTCGAAAATAATGGTATTAGATGTGGCAAGGATGGTTTGGTTCGAAAATAGCTTCTTAATGTCAAAATAGTTGTGCTCTTGAGCTCCTTTCTTAGCTAATTCGTCAGCTTTGATGTTTCCTTTGTTGACATGACCTTTAACTTTGATTAGTTGAATATTTAGATTGGATTGTTGAATGACCTGTTGATATTCATGCTTGAAGCAGTTAAAAATTCCGTTATAGGCTTTGTTTTTCAAAACGTGGATGGATATTTCACTATCTGTGTGAATTTTTGCCTTAGATTTAGGTGGAAGTATCTTTAGTGATGTGAGTATTGCTGATAATTCAGCAACGTTATGTGAGTATTCGCTGTTAATTTTGTATGAGAAATCTTGGGTTTCTTGGGAATTGTTAACTTTGGCGGTAAAGCCGAAACCTGTTGAGTTGTTGAGATTTGATCCGTCAGTGTAAATAGTAAAATTCTTTCCTTTGAGTTTTGGAAAGATTTCGTCATTGTTAAATTGTTGAGGTCTGATCTTGTATTTCTTCATTGATCTGTTCATTTCCTTAAAAATCGAATTTTCGTGTTTGATTCCTTCTGAATATACTTCTCTAAGAAGTTCATTATCATTGTTAATAAGATACAGGGCTGTTTTGATTCGAATTTCATCTGCAAAGATATCGAATCTTGGAATACCAAGTCCGCCATAGGTGATTGGGAGGTGAAAATAGTTTGTTGGACTAGCATTATGCATGAAAATTTTCTTTCTTATTGCTTTTCTTACTTCAATGTTAATTCTATCAACAAGTGATTCAGGAATGTAATTTGTTCGTAAAATGTGTGTAAATAAGCTAGTGCATTTGGCAAAAATTACTTTCTTAATGTTTGTTATCTCCATTCTTTTCAGTGGAATATATTTGAGTGAGAGTTGAAATTGGAGGATTCTTTTTTCAATATCTTCATTTAAAGTAGAGTCATCCCAAGGATAGTGTCCAAGTACTCGAAGGTTTTTGAATCTTGGTATAATAGTACCGTCTATCATTGGCTTCATTTTGCTTTTAGTTGGGAGAGTGGTTGCCATGGATTTTGAAGGATTAATTTTTAGACTTAATTGGCCGAGCCATTTAGAGATATTATCAAGTCTTTCGTTATAATTGCAGTATCTGTTTGAAACTAAATTAATGTCATCAGCAAAGCAGAGCAAACCAATATCGTTAATATTAAGCTTGGTTGGTTTGATTGAAATTTTCCATTGTTGTATGCATTTGTCAATGATGAGTTGAGTAATACAATCATATATAAGAGGAGCTAAAGGGCATCCTTGTGGTATTCCTCTTGTTTTTGTGAATGGTCTAGAGAGATGGTGATCAATTTCTAGCTGTAATATTTGACTCTTGTATGAGTTTAGTATAAAAGTTTTCAACTCATCTGGAAACTTACAATGAGTGAGAGCTTTTTCAATGATATGATCTTCAACGGAATCATAGGCGCCTTCGATGTCTAAGTTTACCAAAAGGAATGACGACTTGTTCTTTTTGGCTAGAGATGAAAGTAATAATCCGTGATTCATTGTGTTTCTGTGTGAAATAAATGCTTGTTGCCTTAAGTTGATGTGTTTGGAAGCCCATTGTCTTAATTCGTATGCAATTATGCTGAAAAGTATTCTGTAATATATTGGGAGAATGGTTATGGGTCTAATATCATTTAGTTTTTGAATGTCTCTTTTAGGGAGTAATTTAATCCAACCAGATTTCCATTCTTCAGGGATATTACCTTGTTGAATGCAGTTTTCAAATTGGTCAGCAATAAGTTGTAGATGTTCGTCTTTGAGATTACGTATAATTTGGAAGGATATTGAGTCTAGACCGGGTGTGTTGGATTTCATTCTCGATATCGCCTCTTTAATTGTTTTAAGGCTTATTTGTGGTATTTTCGGTCCTTTCTTGACGGTTGATGGTGGATTTTCAAAGTCTGATGATTTGGATACTGAGGTAAATTTTGTTTCAAAATGATGCACAATTTCTTCTTCAGAGAATTGGATATTTTTCCAATCTATTGATTTTTCTTTTAGATGTTTGTCAAACTGGTAAATCATTGAGCTGTCATGTTTGTTGAAATTTTCACTTAGTTTTGCTTTGATATCAGCTCCAGTTTCCTTGTATAGTACTTTGATATTATTTCTTAGTTTTTCAATTTCCTCGATATTTTGACCTTTTCCTTGTGTTACAAGATGGAGGAGTTCTATTTCTTTGGTTTTGATTTCTTTCTTATTGATTGTGTTAATGTATTTGAGATTGGTCTTATCATCTTTGAAAGAAAATTTGTTAACCATTTCTGATATGTCTTTCTGAAGTGCATCAAATGAATCATAGTGTGATTCGTTCAATGTTGTTGAGATTTGATTCATATCTTTCCTAGAGATGAAGTTTCTCCAACAATAGTCTGTTTCGAACTCAATGTCAATATAGAACGGTAGATGATCATTTTTGGATATTGGTGGCAAAATAACTTCTCTGATTATTCTGATGTTGTTAGAAACGAAGATATGATCAGGTCGTGATTTTGAACTGAGTTGATGACTTTTCTGACGTATGTGTAATTCTCTGGGATGATTAGTTCTTTGAGTTGGAAACACTCAATAAGTTCTTTCCATTCTTTTTCTCTCGAATTTTGTGGTTTCCTTGTGTTGATATTGAAATCTCCTAGCACAATGTTGAATTCATTTTCACATTTTAGTAGAAGGTGAATAATAATGTTGATTATTTCATCATCATCTTCACCATCAGATGAAGCATAAACCGTAATGATGTTAATAGGTTTGTTTCTAGAGAAAAACCTTGTCCATTGAAGTTTTCCTTGTATTAGATTTTCGTTGGATATGAATCGTTTTCTTTTGTTGTTAAGAATATGGAAGAGAGCTGTTCCCTTTTGAGCTTTTCTTGCTCCAAATAGTGAATTAAAGAAGATACTTCCATTCCCTTTGTTATAGGCTTCTTTTTGATCTTCATATGTTTTTAAGTGTGTTTCAGTAATTGACATGATTTGGATGTTATGATTGTAGCACATCCCTTTGATTTCATTTGTCAATATTTCTTTTGTGGCTGTCTTTATGAGCCCGTTGCAGTTAAAACAGCCAATTTTCAAATTACATTTTGGTGACTTAATTGTTCTTATTTCCAAGAGGTTTATCACCTCTTCTAGGTTCTACTATATCTTCTTCTTCGTCATATTCCATTTCATCATCACTATTTTCATTTGGTTTTGGGTGATAAGATTCATTATCTTCATCTTCTACATCATCCTTGGATTCATGAATTAATTGATGGTACGGTTTTGTCAAATGTAATTCAATATTTTCCATTTTGGAAGCTATTTCGTTGAGTTTTTCAAAAATGGTCTGTATGGATTTTGTGTGGTCTGTTAGTGTATTGGTGATGTTTTGTATTTGTTTAGAATGTGATTCCAGTTTGATTGAGTTTTCAGTACATTCTACTTGAAGTGATTTGTGATTCTTTTCTAATGCTGAGAGGTCATTATTGAATTGGAAATTATTGGTTGCACCAGTCACTTCGTTTTCTTGTTGTTTTTGAATTTTTCTACCAAATATTTGGTTGTAGATATGAGTTTTTTTGAGGTTGGTTTTGTGCCATTTGGTGGAGTGATACTTGTTGGGAATTTTGTAATTTTTTCCAATTCTGCAACATTAGTTGCTTTGTAATTGGCTATATAATAATGCTCTCCAGGGCGATATGGGCTAGGTTTGTTAATAATCTCTAAGTGGTTTGATTGGAAGACACAGTTGCTTTTTTCCACCATCTTTTGTATCGCAGTTTTGATATCTTTCTCTGTGTAGAGGGATGAAAAATTGCAAGAGCAGTTAAGCTTAGATTCTGTTATGATCTGGTCAATGGATCGGTATTCAGAATATTTCCTTGCCATAAAATATTCTTTATCTTCAAGAGATTCAACTGCTATTCTGATTTTATAAAGCTTTTGGACTCTGTCATAACTGGTATTAGTTTCTTTAACTCCATTAGTTCTTTTCCAAAAATTTTTGATAATGTGTGTAGTATACTTCATCATCTCGTCATATGATGAAGTATGATATTTGAGGGTGTGTTCAGCTGGTGAGAAATTCATAGGAGTCACAACGTATTTGAATGGACTGGAGTCTCTTGTTGATTGTGAGTTTAAAATTCCCAAGGTTGATACATAATCTTCATGATTGTTACAGACAAGTTGGAGTACGTGCGTCTTGTCGTTAGGTATGTACCATGATGTAAGTTTTTCTTTGACTGCATCTGTAATAAATTCAGTGATGTCTGAGTCGATATGCTTACTGAGGTAAATAGATACACAGTGAGAATAGTTAATTGTTTTAGCTCTTTTAGCAGGAGGGTACATGGTTGTTGTTGTATTGTAGGATTTGATTTGCGGAGTTTTTTTGTTGGATCAAATGTAATGTTCTTGGCTGTCTTGGCTATTTGCAAGTATGACGATTGCGATTCATTCAGGTTGAAGCTGGTGTTGATAGGTGGGCTCTTAGATTGAAGCTGGGGTTGACTTTGGGGCTTTGAAGTTGTTTCAATTGGTTTGATGAGGTTTGTGCTTGTTTCAATTGGTTTGGTGAGGTTTGTGTTGGTGATGAAGTTTGTTGTCTTATTTTGATTGTTGATTTTCGATTTGTTTGTTGGATGTGTAATATTTTTGATTTTAGATATTTGGTTTGATGGTCCATCAGTTCGATAAGGATGTGCAGGGGATGGAGTTTGTTCTATGAGTGTTGTTTTTGGAGGAAGAGGTTGTTTAGGTTTAATTGGTTGGTTGCTGTCGGAGACTAATTTAACTGACTTTACCTTTTGTTTCCGATTATTGATGTGGTTAGATAATCCGTCCAATGTTTTTGAGAAATTCTCAATATGTTTAAAGATGATTCCGAAAGCTTCTGAGTGGGTCATCAATGTTTGGTTGATACTATTCATTACAACGTCTTCATTTGTGTTCATTTTTTTTGCGTCGAACTCCCACCAAAAAAATGAGCAGCCACGATCATCAAGCAAACCTGCAGGCTCAAACCTCATCATCGTCAAATCCTGCTCCTTCTTCTGGATCGCCAGCTGCTCAAACTTTGAATTTTGAAACGTATCTGAGAAGCTTTGAAAGCCTCAAAAACGCTAATGGTAAGTTAATTTCGATCGATTATTGTCATACCCGATAATCATTACACAACTCTAGACACTGTTAACCTCACAAAGTTGTTAATTGAGTTGCGTGATCATTTAGAGAGTGCTTCGTTACCGGAATGTTTTGACTTTGCTTCTACAATGTTAAAACCATTATTGGAGTTCCTAAATGATGGAGTAAAGCCTAAATTCAGAAAAGATGACAAAGATCATCTACTTCGCCAAGTGATCATTGAAATTATTCAAAAATTGCCACATACAGAAGTAAGTTTTATCAATGATTGATTAATTGGTCACTATTTTGAAACTTATTAACATTGATCTGAATTTTAATATCACTACTTGACAACAAATAATTATTATTGACACTCATCTATAATTTTTAAATAGTTATATGAAGAGAGAAATGGAAGAAGAGAAGAACTCACTCTGCTCATGAACTCACTAATCAAAGTGCTAAAAACGGACAATGAGTTGAACGGAGTTGTGGCAATTCGACTCATAATTGATATTTACAAGTCATTCAAAACTAGCCTTCCAACTATTGTTCAACCTGTAGTCGACATTTTTCTTCAATTTTATGCAAATTTCGAAAAAACAATTGAAAAATATTTAGGAAGAAAACCA